GCTTTTCATTAGGGGGATGTTACATCGTCTGCCGAGCCTTTTGCTTTCGTAGGGAGTGATTTTCGTGTGCAGGTTTGGTACTAATCCTTCTACGATTTTCCAAGTGTATATAATAATGTATCTCTCCTGCCTGTGTTCTAGGGAGTACAGGTTGAGAAACTTCAAACGTTCCCAGTAATTGAGGTGTTTTATCGCAGTTATGCGTGCCGTGAAGGTTCTCTGTACATTTTCTAGGTCAGCAATTTCACCTGCCTTGAAAAGTGCGTTAAAACCATGGTATACAGAAGAGCTTCTCTGAACACACAACACATCAGACATTGAAGTGGATGGGCTACAACATCAGATAACATCTGGTTCCACTATCAGCTAAGAACAAGAAACTGAGGCTCGAAGGAGAAATTTAGAATGCTAATACTCTGTGGATAATTCCATGGCTGGGAATACGAGTGGATTGTGAAAACACATTTGATCTCAATCGACATGAAGGAGGATGGCATCTAGTGTTGGATAAGATTAAATCAGCTTAAAAAAACAATAACACCACGAGTGTCCCTTGGTCTGGGTAGCCATGTGAGGGGTGGAACGGATGGGAGGGACGGGATGGAACGGAAGGGAAGGGAGGTAGGGAGAGAGTGGGAGGAAAGGGTGAGTGAGCACATTGGAGGTAACAGACACTAACATAGACTTACGACTGTGACTCCGTCCCCAGGTGCCCAGTGGCCCCTTCTCTTCCTCCCCCTCCCATGTGAAAGACCAGCCCTTCTCATGTGTCGAACCAGTCTTCCTCTCATGTATCGAACCAACCCTCCCTCCCATGTGAAGGACCAGCCCTTCTCATGTGTCGAACCAGTCTTCCTCCCATGTATCGAACCAACCCTCCCTCCCATGTGAAGGACCAGCCCCCTTCCATGTGTCGAACCAATCTTCCCTTCCATGTGTCGAACTAATCCCCCTCCCATGTGTCAAACCAATCCCCTCCCCCATGTGCCGAACTAATGTCCCTCTCATGCTTCGAATCAATCACTTCTTCCATGTATGGAAAAAAAAAACTCTCCCATGTATCGAACCAATCCTCCCTCCCATGTGTCGAACCAATCCCCCTCCCCATGCGTCGAACCAATCCCTCTTCCCATGTATCGAACCAGTCTCCCTCCCATGCGTAGAACCAATCCCCCATTTCATTTGTCGAATCAATCTCCCATCAATTCCCAGGTACAGGGATACCTGAAATCTTTTATTTACCCTGTACTGAGACCTCGGCTATTAATGCTCGAATATATGAATCCGTAAAGTCCTTCACTCTCTTGTAAAGGAACCCCCCAAACTCTCACTCCCATGTTCAAGGACTCCTAAAATCCCTCTAAATTCCCCATGCATAGCACAAGAATGTAGTGTTCTGTAATAGTGTTGGTAGAATTACCGACAATATGTTACGTAAAAGAATCGAAGTGCAGCTAATGCGACATTTTACTGTGACATTTCGCTCTCCAAGAGCTTTGTGAAGCGAAACGTTGACACAATAAAATGTTGCATTAGTTGAACTTGTGCCCTTTTACCTAGCATGTACCGTTATGTTAGTGCCCGGGCCATGTTGGTGTTCCAGGCCATGTTGGTGTCCCGGGCCATGTTGGTGTCCCGGGCCATGTTGGTGTCCCGGGCCATGTTGGTGTCCCGGGCCATGTTGGTGTCCCGGGCCATGTTGGTGTCCCGGGCCATGTTGGTGTCCCGGGCCATGTTGGTGTCCCGGGCCATGTTGGTGTCCCGGGCCATGTTGGTGTCCCGGGCCATGTTGGTGTCCCGGGCCATGTTGGTGTTCCAGGCCATTTTGGTGTTCCAGGCGGTGTTGGTGTTCCAGGTGGTGAGCGGACAGTTGCTGGAGACACAGCTGATATTGACAGCTCTCTCTGTTCTAGACATTTTCCTAAGTGACACGTAGATAAATATTATCATTTGGAAGTGACGGACGGGCGGATGAGAAGCAAGTTATAATGAGGCCGGAGAGATAAACAAGTTATAATGAGGCCGGAGAGATAAGCAAGTTATAATGAGGCCGGAGAGATAAGCAATTTATAATGAGGCCGGAGAGATAAGCAAGTTGAAATGAGACCGGAGAAATGAGACCGGAGAAATGAGATGCAAGTTATAGTAAGGTCGGAGAGATAAGGAGGCCGGACAGATGAGAAACAAGTTACAATGAAGCTTGACTGATGAAGTCACTGTGTGACGAAACGCTTCCACGATAAAGATACCGAGGTGTTGCACGTGTATTTAATTTATCAGCTGGCTCTGGATCATATTTTAACTGTCAGTGGCTTTAGAGTTTTCACTTTAGTTGTAGCTTTTATAATTAGAGAGGCACCAGTAAGTATCTAGGGAAATATTTAGGACAGGCGTCTGACAGTGACAATTTGTTATTAACTAATGCTGGCTGTTTTAACTAGAGGAGATGGTGATTATTTATTTGATTATTTTGGTTTACTGCGGTAATTTGCGGTTCTTGTGTGTATGGCGTTCTATTTTTTTTACTGCCAAGAACGCTGAGTAATTTACAAGGTCAAAGTCCTCTTCCGTTCTCGAAGCTTCTTTCCTCCTCTCAGTCCCAGGTGCAGACACATCTGAATTTCATTTTTCAGCTAAAGGGAAACATAAACCCCCATCATTCACAAGAACCCCATTCGCAGGTACAAGGATCCCTGAACCCCCATCATTCGCAGGTACCAAGATCCCTGAACCCCCCTCATTCGCAGGAACAAGGATCCCTGAACCACATAGGAACATGGATCCATGAACCCCATCATTCACAGGTACAACGACTCCTGGACCCCATCATTTACAGGTACAGCGACTCCTGGATCCCATCATTCACAGGTACAGAGACTCCTGGACCCCATCATTCACAGGTACAGCGACTCCTGGACTCCATCATTCACAGGTACAGAGACTCCTGGACCCCATCATTCACAGGTACAGCGACTCCTGGACCCCATTCACAGGTACAGCGATTCCTGACCCCCATCATTCACAGGTACAGCGACCTCATCATTCACAGGTACAGCGACTCCTGGACCCCATCATTCACAGGTACAGCGACTCCTGGACCCCATCATTCACAGGTACAGCGACTCTTGGGCCCCATCATTCACAGGTACAGCGACTCCTGGGCCCCATTCACAGGTACAGCGACTCCTGGACCCCATCATTCACAGGTACAGCGACCTCATCATTCACAGGTACAGCGACTCCTGGGCCCCATCATTCACAGGTACAGCTACTCCTGGACCCCATCATTCACAGGTACAGCGACCTCATCATTCACAGGTACAGCGACTCCTGGACCCCATCATTCACAGGTACAGCGACTCCTGGCCCCCATCATTCACAGATTCAGCGACTCCTGGCCCCCATCATTCACAGGTACAGCGACCCCATAATTCATAGGTACAGCGACTCCTGGACCCCATCATTCACAGGTACAGCGACTCCTGGACCCCATCATTCACAGGTTCAGCGACTCCTGGCCCCCATCATTCACAGGTACAGCGACCCCATATTTCATAGGTACAGCGACTCCTGGACCCCATCATTCACAGGTACAGCGACTCCTGGCCCCCATCATTCACAGGTACAGCGACTCCTGGACCCCATCATTCACAGGTACAGCGACTCCTGGACCCCATCATTCACAGGTACAGCGACTCCTGGACCCCATCATTCACAGGTACAGCGACTCCTGGCCCCCATCATTCACAGGTACAGCGACTCCTGGACCCCATCATTCACAGGTTCAGGAGCCTCCCTCTGGACCCACTAAAGTGGGTCCAGAGGTTTTGTGTTAAATGAAAAATCTTTAATATTTAATATAAAAGTAATAATAACATTCGGTGCATTTGCGGAAAGTATTACCATGTCGGATTTATGTACATGTGTAATACAATTCAGTTTATGGAATTGTTTGTGTGGAGAAGATTATTTCTATACTGAATTTATTGCATACAGTGTAATAAATTTTGGTTTAAGGGTGTAATATTTTAGTCAGAGAAAAGTATGTCATATATATACGTGTACCGAATGCAGAATGCAGGTGTCGTGTTTCAATTTATTTAATAAATTTAGCCTCTATGGGTTTTCAGCGTATGTTAGTGAAGGTATCTACTGTACAGGGCACTGAATGATTATATAAACCTTGGTAATATATACCGACAAGTTGGTTTAGAAAGACACGTAAGCAAACACTAAAACATATTTATTAGAAAACGTTTCGGTCCTGGGACCTTGATCACTTGGAAGTGATCAAGGTCCCAGGACCGAAACGTTTTCTAATAAATATGTTATAGTGTTTGCTTACGTGTCTTTCTAAACCAACTGAATGATTAATATGTCCGAGCATTTAGAGAGAGAGAGAGAGAGAGAGGGGGGGGGAGGTACCATGATACTTGTGAAGGGTTTTTAATCCAAGAAATTGAAGTTACGTTTTACTTTAAATCTAACCTCATTACAGTCATTTCCATGGGACAAATTTTATTACCTGTCATTCCCAAGGAGCTGGTTTTGTGTTTCCACTTAATTAAATAAAACAAAAATCATGATTGGAGGATCCAAGTTTTGTTAGGTTTACTGGAGACTCCTAATGTGCCCAGTGAGTGACAGTCCTCCATGGAAACCCCTGAACTCCACGCTGTAATAGCTGACCTCTTTCTCATTACTGGCATAATATTCAATTCAATTCAAGTTTATTCTCTATAATGGTTACAATGTGGGGTTTACAGGTTTTGGGTATTTTGTGGTTTACATGTTATAAAATAATTACAGAGGGGGCCACTAGGACACCTATCATGGCTAGGCATTTCGAGCAGACTTAGATTAATTCTTAACATTAACATTCACAGGTACAGCGACTCCTGGACCCCATCATTCACAGGTACAGCGACTCCTGGACCCCATCATTCACAGGTACAGCGACTCCTGGACCCCATCATTCACAGGTACAGCGACTCCTGGACCCCATCATTCACAGGTACAGCGACTCCTGGACCCCATCATTCACAGGTACATTGACTCCTGGACCCCATGATTCACAGGTACAGCGACTCCTGGACCCCATGATTCACAGGTACAGCGACTCCTGGGCATAGGTTTTGTTTCCGTCTACTTTGGCCCCTTGATGACTTTGGCCCAATAGGCCACTCCGCATCACGTTTTTCAGAAAATATTGATTGGCCTGTATTCCCTTCTGTCACGATAACATCGGTTGGTGCCTGAAGAATTCTGGGGATGTCAATAATGAAATGATGAGGTGAGACCAATCTGTTATTTTGCATGATCTATAGCAGCATTTCCCACAGTAACTTTAGGTTCTATGTACCCTTGAATCTCGTCGATGTGACTGGCTTGGTTGGCTCTGTACACTTCAAAAACGGTAAAAGTCTCTTTCCACAAAAATCTTCACTTAGAAACGATACTCGACTCACTCATGGGTACCGACTACTAGGGATCCTGCCTCCCTCTGAAAATCATTTTATTTTTACATATTAGTACATAAGAGATGTACTATACCTGGGAGGGGCGGGGATAATAAAATCTGACCTGAGAAAGTGGGAGTGCAACTTCAATTCCTTGAATCAAGAGCTTTTTACCATTTTCAAGACTTCTCTTGAGGGAATGTGCTTCATTACCTGTTGCTAACTTGAGATCATTTTAGTGTATTCCAAACTTCAGTGATGCTAGTGGTAGTTATTATTATTATTATTATTATTATTATTATTATTATTATTATTCAGTGTCTCCTGACACTGAATAATATGATGAGCCGATCAGCAGTTAATCATCCTCTGGCTTACCCCAGTTCATTATATATTTCATTATAAAAAAGAACCACTACATAGTTGTGTATTTAATGATGTGATGTTGGTATCCATACGTATATCCTAAAGACAATTTCTGTAGGCTTCGGTGTTTAAAATGGAAATATGATTACATTAGTTGGTGAAGATATCTGGGAATCCCCGTTGACCCATGCATATCAGGACAATTGATAGGAAACATTGTAGTAAAGAAAGCGAATGCCAGACTGAAATTCCTCTACAGACAAGCACAGTGTCTACCTACTGAGGCTCGCAGGACCCTATGTCTAGCCCTCATACAGTGTCATATGGATTACACTTGCTCTTCATGGTACTCTGCCTGGACAAAAAAACAGAAAGATAGACTGCAAATTACCCAGAAAAAAACAGTAAGATTCATCCTGAGGCTGGGACCAAGAGAACATGTAGGCCAGGATGAATTACAGCAGTTGGATATGCTGAATGTTGAAGACAGAGTAAAACAACTGAAGCTAAATCATGTTTATAAAATTGCTCATAGTGTCCAGAATATCTTGCTGCCAATTTTGTCAAGGTTGGGAACCAAAGCAATCATAGTACTAGGGGGAGAGAGCACAGTCAAGAGGCCAGGCTTCAAACACCTTTTATTGTTTAACATGTCATGCTATGACATGTCAAAGCCAGTCATAGCATGAACCAGTTCAAGAAGAGTGCCAAAAGGTACCTAATGAATGTAGCTACAGAAAGGGAGGAGAATGCTTTTTTATTTTTTTTAGGTAACACACGTGTTATTTTACCCTAATTCTAGTAATGATCCTCGTATTGTAGATAGTCTTAATAGTATGATAATATATCTCCTTTATAGAATAATAAAAAAATACCACCTTTATATTATAACAATAAGATAAAAGGACCCCAATAGAAATGTCACTCTGACTTTTTTGGGGGTTGGTTATCCTGTGTATGATAATCTATGTATGTAACTGTATTTATGTATACCTGAATAAACTTACTTATCTGCTGATACCTCTTGAGATACTAGGCGTTTTGATATGGGTCCTTTTTAATCTTTTTTAAATAACACGGATTTTTAACCTAGATCCCAGCTATTTATTATTTCATTATTCTGATTCCAACGTTTTATATTTTGTGATTATTTTTAGCTTGTCTCTGTCATTCTTTCTGAGTAGTGAGCACCGTCCCTTCCCTCCCTCCACCAGCTGTCCTCGCTTCACAGGACTCTGTCTACACCCGTCCTCCTCCTCTCTCATGTTTCCTCTTATTATGGACATTCGCTCCTCATCTTCCAGCTCTTCCTCGCTATTCTCTATTATATATTTATCCTACATGTTTATTTAGAGCCTCAGCCTTTTCTTAACATATTTTTACAATTCATTCTTCCTCACTAATGCATGGTCTCTTTGTCTTCAGTTTATTGACAAATCTATTACTTTTCATATATTCTCATTTCTTTCCAGTTCTTTCTCTCCCTTACTTTCAGCTCTTATTTTCCCTTCATCTTGTTTCCCCTTCTCTCATCCTATTCTTTTGTTTTCATCTTTTGTCTTCATCTCTTCCTCCTCCACCTCCTCCACTTACTCCTCCTCCACCTCCTCTTCCTGTCCCCTTCTTCAGAACCATCGGGTCCAGCGCCGGTAGATTACGCGCGAATCTAATTAGCCGGTTCTCTCACTCATGAAACGAGCGCAAGTTTCGGCTGGTGTTTTTCCTCTCTATTTTCGTCGTAGTTTGATTAAGTTTTAATTAAAGTTATCGTCGTCGGTCAGTCAAAGGGCCGGGCAGCGTTCCGTGAAACAAGGGCCTCGGTGTGGATAATAGGGCGCATATTAAAATGGATTTTTCGAGCTCGGGGAAATGATTTAGTGACTACGAGTCTGCCTTCTCTATCTCTCTCCCTCCATCCCTGTCTCCTATTCTTTCCCTACCAACCCTTCCTTTACATAGCACAGATAGCATTATAGCACCCTGATAATCGTTACATTAAAGTAGGTCTTTAATGGCTGTATATTGGCCGACAGGTGGAAACTAACTTTGATAATGATGTCAACTTCATGAAGATTCCACAGTGAGTGTACACACTGTGTGCTCACGTCTGTGTGTTGACCTACTCGTCTGCTCCATCTTTAACACATCACCAACCTATCTTCCTTAAATATTAAATATTTCTTTAAATATTCATCCACGCCTGATTGCCCTTTATCGGACAAGCATAGATATCGGTTGGATATCAAAATTCTGATAGTATATGCTTAAAGTATGACCTTTTCTAAGACTTTGTTTTACTTATACATTTTGTTTATGTTCAGAAAATATTGGCTTTAAAATTCAAACAATGAGGGAGCCCAAAACTGTTGCTCTTCCGGTAAATGTTTTAAAATTATATTTTAAAATGTTTAATAAAAGACAAATGTATAATTTACCTTCATTCAATGAAAAAGAATAAAATAATAGAATCTTGTTTCAACCATACATTTTTTGTAGTTTTACGTACAAACTGTGGAAAATAAAATTTGCCAGGATGTAACTCATAAGGTACATGCCGGTAAATGGTAACAAAGATAATTATTCTTTATCAAGGTTACAGAGACAAGTAGGAATTTTAGGACACCTAGGTCGTAAAAAATGTCCCCCTTCGATACCTACTACTGTCATATCCACAAGTCACTCTAGACCTATATTAAATTCAAATGAAATATACATCACCAGGAATTCTGGTAAAAACATTAATATAAATATGTGAACTGTATATTAAATTTAAAATGTGAATACATATACATTAAAGGAGAATTTATAATATGACTCACCAATTTGTCTGGAGATTACTTGGTGTATCATGTACTACCCCCCTGCCTAAATATGAAGAAAATGATCGACACCATGCCCAGCCCTTCTAGGGTAGGGTAGGTGCCTGAGCCAGAGCTTGCAGCTCACGAGACTGTCATTCCCATTTGCCCCCTTGGGGCGGGGATGGCAGACCAGAGAGGCCTAGCTTGTGGCTAGGCCTGGGGACAGTTGGTCCCAAAGATGAGGTACTTGTGCCTCCTCCCATGGGAGACTTAGGTCTCAGACACTCCCTAAAGAGGAAACCAAGGCCGGGCCACCCCTTGGAAAAGGCCCGGGCCGGGAGAATACCGGCGAATCTTTAATAATAATAATAAATGAAGAAAATACTGGCCAGAATCTCAACATAAATAGACAACTTAGCTGGGGTTCTGAAGCTGTCCTGTCCATCTGCTTAATGCTCACGTTATGCAGGACTGCAAATCCAACAATTTTGGCTCCTATTTGAGAGGTTTTAAGTCCAATATAACCCATAGAGCGACGAAAATTTATGCACATTACACTAACGTGCTTGTATCACATTCAAGAACAATGGCGTCTCCCTTCTGCTCGTCAGTGCAGGCGCAGAGCTTTCCTGTCGGTTCACTTCTTTAAAATACACTTTAGAGCAATAGTAATGTATTAATCAGGTATATTTACATTAAAAAAATATACAGCATAATTTTGGGAAATTATTTTCCACACAATGCAGGAAAAATAAGAAAAAATATGCAAAATATTGTACATTAATTATAGAAAGTAACATGAAGTTTTTTTAGATCAAAAACAGTCACAAGAATTATTTCATAAGATATGTTATGTTAATTTTTATTTGGTGTGAAAGCTGATGAATCAGTTCCTAGGGTTCTTGCAGAGGATGGCATTGTAAGTTGAATAGGCAGTATTTGTCCTGGCAATGCTACTTTGTTTGCTACAGTACTTGCACGACAGCTTCTTTCCATAAATTGAAGAGTGTGGTAATGTGTGGTTATAATTCTGTTGTCATCAGGCATAACGGCACGTTGATACTGGACAGGAGCAGGCATTTCAGTTGGTCCCAGAGTACTGATATCACGTCCCTACTTGAAGAACGTGAAGTGTTTGGGGAAGACAGTGGAGATGATCCCAAACTCCTTAGGAACACATTTGGTATAGATCTGGCAGCGTCAAACATCTACTCTGAATACTTTCAGGTTTTCATACCTTTTACAGAAGCCTATACAAAAACCAAGCATTTACATCAGCAACATCAGGGGCGTATCCAAACAGGATCATGTGCCACAGTTTTCATTTCATTAGAGTTTTGTGAATATGCAAAACAACTTTTGTCGATGCTTTCCCTGTGAGCATTATAGTTTTTGACTGAAGAGTGTGACTCCCTCTATATTTTGTTTGGTCTCCTTGCTGTATCTGATGATCTTTGTCACAGGATTTATCCCTTGGTCACTCGTCAACCAACAACCCTGTTGTCTTTCCAGCTTAATGAAAGGATACCTTCAATGGAATTGTAATCCATGGTACATCTTTTTCACTTACTTTTTTCCCGTATCCTTGACATTCCATAGTGCTGGTTATCCCTGGTAACACCTCTGTGTCTGCAGTTAAATTTCGCTTTTCAGAAACTTCAACAAAGCAAGACAGATGAAGGTGTCTGTATAGATTCCTGTTTCACGTGTGTGGTTATGTAGTCGTGGCAAGGATAACGACAATCTTTGAGCTCATGGGCAGCTGTTTTTTCCTCTGAGAGCATAACAGGACGATTACCAAACATTGTGAAACCTACATACATTAGTATATCACGAATCATATCTTCACTGGTATAGCAAAGAAGTGTGAAACCCCCATTAGGCTTCTTGATATACTGCCGAAGGTTTCCAGCTATTTTGCCCGTGTATGCGATCATTACCTCGTTCATGGACTGCTCTGGTTTTCCTTCAGTTTTAAGGCAAGCTTTGTTGATGTCATTGACCTATCATTTGAATTCGCATTGTCTGATTGATCATTCAGATGGATTGTTCTCCTTAGCAACCTGAACCTCTTAGACACTGCTTCAGCAGCACGAGTAACGCAAGTGGTACTCGACCAGTAATCATTTAAAGAGGGATATACACATGTACCCTGGTGCCCCGTGGCCTGGTGGCAAAAGCTCTCGCTTCGCACGGTGAGGGTCCGGGTTCAATTCCCGGCGAAGGGGCGGAAACATTGAGCGCGCGTTTCCTTACACCGGTTCTTTATGTTCACCCATCAGTAATAATGATTACCTGGGTGTTAGTCGACTGTACATGTACTTGTAGAAATAAAATTATTATTATTATTATGCAAATTTGTCTGATAGCAAAGTCACGTATGGTTTATTTAAAGAAAATAATCATAGGAAGTTATGTGTTGATTGTTCATGATGGTTCTGAGGTCAAGGATAGTTCTGAATGTCTTGCTTTATCCAGTTGTACGTAATGTTGGACTGTACTTGGTCACGCACGCAGTTATCATCTGTACTTATTTCTCTTCTTACACATGGACGTTTTGGGTGTTTTCATCTCTTCTAATTCATCATCACTCGATTGTAATATATACAAAGTCTTGTGAGAAATTATTTTGTTAACTTTTAGACGTAAGTGTTCCTGATAATAAATTAGCGCATCACCAGCTAGAACTTCAGTGAAAAGATAATTCACATTTTAACTGATCGTTCTATAGTGATTAAGCTGATGGTTGAATGAGTCAAGTCCTGGGAGTGATGGAGATCACTTTGACGAAGGTATTTTATGCCTGGGTGCATACAATAGCTTTTACAAAATTATATTAAAATGTTCCATCAACCTATTGCTGTAGATATTTAAAACTATCAAAATTTAAAGCAAAACGGTCTTTAATTTATTCAGTCTTCTGCCAATTTCTCCATCCCTCAGCCCTCTCTCTTCTTTACCCCATTTCTAACAGTGTCTTCCCATCCAAGAAGTGCTAGAGCAGCCGATCTACCTTATTCAGTTAGCCAGTGAATAATCTCCAATGAAAACACCTGACAACAGCTCAAGGTTAGTATACTCACCTATATGGGTTGCAGGGGTCGAGTCACAGCTCCTGTATTATGCATCCAACACTTAACCTGTTCCCCATTCCCTCCCTCCGATGCGGAATCATTCATGTTATCAAGGGATTTAGGTGTGAACAAATTGGCCTAAGAAGTGAGTAGTATAACTTTCGTTTGGCCTAAGCGTTAAGGGTTTCTGCCCTCCCCCCCCTTAACTAAATTTGCTTCCATACTGAGAAAGGAATAATATTGAGAAAGGAATCCCTGCCCTAATATCTCCTGCTGCCACCACTAGTTGCAATTCTTCGGAACTGATGAATTCTTTGATCTGGATTAGATCTTGTTATGACAGGCGTACTAGTGGAGGTTATCTGTAGATCAAGGAGTTTCAACTGAGGGAATAGAACTTCAAACATTCTTTTTGTTCGTCCTCGCCGATAATTGGTTGAATTATGCTAGTTCCATTGGCTCTCTCGGTTAAAACAAGCCCATTCAATAAAGCTTATTCAGTTCTGGGCAAGAATTCTTTGCTGTGCAATTAGGAAAGGTAGGCATAATTCTGGTAGAGACAACATTGCTCCTCACGTTGGTCACGTAGTGGTTCTGGTCTAGGGTCTTTACTCTAGGAAGCTGCGGTAGTAATAAGGTATTTGAGAGTAATGAATTTCTTCACAAAAGTAATGAATGGAAACAGTGACTATATTAATAGCGGTAATTTCATCAAGACTTGAACATTTGTATTGTAACATCAAAATTATACAGGTTAACGTTTACCTTATTAATTGTACCGTCCACAGGATTAATGTGAAGTGACTGGTTGTAATATCTGATATCATGGACTCCATACTCATCCGGTGTGTGCTAGTTAAAATACTGTGGAGGCACAAAGTCCTAGGACTGGGCATCAAAGGTCTGTTGACTTAACAAATTACCATAACGACTGCTTATATAAGGGGTGAGCACTTTTTTGTGTGTACATAATAATAATGATTTTTACAAAAGTAATGAACTGATACTAGAAACACCTCAGTGCGTGACAATTTCATAACATACCATACCCCCGGCCGGGATTGAACCCGCGGTCATAGGGTTCAATCCCGGCCGGGGGTATGGTTTGTTTGCAATCGTGTCATTACGATTTCTTAAGTAATTTCATAACATCTTGAATAAATAGGCTACAATACACAAATGAATTGCAGATACATGCATACCGATGAAGCGAGCAACAGTCAATAAGTTACTGAATCAACCAAGAGCTAAGAGACTATGCCAAAAAAGTTCTGTTAATTCAGCAGGTTGCGATGATAATGAGTTATTTACAATAGGCGGAGCCATTGTATTTATCTTTTCTTTCTAGTATGTCATTAGATTTTAGATTTTGCCTCCGAAGTGGCTAGTTTACCGTGCACTCCACATCCATCCTGTGGACGGTAGCGCAGGAGCATATGGATACACGGCCTAGGAACTAGGCCCCAAAAGGGTTAACAGGAGTACATTTGGATTTATATCTGCAGTTCACTTGTCTATTACAAGCAAACCTAGGAAACTTGCTTAGTATATCTGGTATATTAATTTCATTAATAAGATATCTTGACATGTCACATAGGTTATTATACTGACTATCTATATTCCTCAATAAGTGGACAATTAAGCATACAGTGTTCAAGACAGTGACCATATGCCTGACCACATAATTTGGATTTGGTTAGATCATGTGTGTGTCTCCCAAACTGCCAGAAGTACTAGTAACCAAGCCTAAGCCTGGCCACTACAACATCAGTCAGTCTGTTCACATTGCAAGTTGCTCCATAAACATAACTACGGTCATGTTATCATAGTGGGTTATAGATCTACTCAGACTTCTAATTGCATTCCTGTAATATTAATTTTCATTATTTGCTTCTTTCCTAATATTATTCCTAATGCTAGACACAAATATACCAAAGTTATATTCTGCATTTTCTTTCAGGGTACTCTTCTTGGCTAACATATCAACTTTATCATGAAGGAGTAATCCAATGTGTGATGGGATCCATAGCAATTGCACTTTAATTCATTTATCCCGGATTTTTGAGTATCTATACCTGGCTTCTCCAATGAGCATGTTGTTGGAGTCATGCGAGTCAAGAGCCTTCAATGATGACATAGAATCAGTAATGATTATAGATAAGACACATATGCAACAGTGCAACCTAACTGTTGCAACCTAACTGTTGCGTATGTGTCTTATCTAACAACCTGTCGGTATTTCATACCATTTTGATGTTCAATGATTACAGAGTCAAACTCAGTGTCATAAGTTAGCTTTAGCGCCATTAGGATTGCAAACAATTTGCAGTGTAGACGCCCAGTTAATTCTTTTGCCTATCTCAACAAGTTTATTACCGTTCTTAACTAGGGAAATGGCAATAAGAGCAGATGCAGCCCTACCAGAAGACTCCTGTTTAGATCCATCAGTGTATATAACTTGTGATAATTTATTACTACCAGCTAGGCGAGAAATTTCTTCTTGAGCAGTTGCTTTAACAAGTGATTTAAGGAAGGGATTATTAGCAATAAGCTTCTTGGGAGGGACTTGCAGGTATGTGATATTAAATGAACACATCTTCCATGGAGGGGTGAAATGCTCTTGTTGTCTACAGTGATACAGTTCATGCAGGTTATAAAACTTAATATAATTGCACGTTTTCACAATCCTGTTAGATCTGTGTATCTACTTCTAGACATTTAGTAAGATTCATGGTGACAGTGTCTGGTTCATTTCTTAACATTCTAACACCGAGTATAGTGTTAATCTCAACAATCCTATCACTGATATTAAGAACCTTTGTTGATTTGGGACAGCCAAGAATAATTCTGAGAGCTTCATTCTGCATTAACTCCAAGGGTCGGAGAGAACTCTCCCTAGTTAATATCACCATGGGAGCAACATAATCAGTTAAGGACCTAATATAAGCTATGTACATCATTCTCACGATTCTCACATTAGCACCATAGTTGTGGTTGTAGCCAGCAACAGCTTTGAGAGCAATTAGCCTATCTTTGCATTTCTTATTTAGTCGTGGTATGGTGGATTTATTGAAGGGTACGTCTACACCAAGGTATCTGTAAATTTAACGTAGCTAATGTTTTCACCTTGCAAACAGATGGGTGGGGGATGTCATTTGCTTGTCAATATCTTTTCCATTGTATTTAGCTATTTTTTTCTAGTATGTCATTATGGATGAAACGTTTGTACATTCGATGAACATTTATGAAGTCATTAAATTCTCGGATTCAGTCGCATTAAATCAAATGACGTAAGGTGTGAGAATAGGTCTGCTTACAAATGTTTACATTTAGTATGATTACATCAGTTAATATTGCAAACTCCAATTGGTATTTGTAGCATAACCGACGTCATTCGGTAATAGCACCCAAATGTTTGATGGATGTACCGTAGACATGTGGCTCCTGCTATATAACAGAATGATAGATGGAAAGACTGGTGTCAGTCTCTCTCTGTTCTGCGAAGTTTAGCTGGAGGTCTCGAACTGCTGGTGGACAGCCAGAAGTTATAATCGACTCCCTCCTTGAGAGCATACACCCATGTCAACTTATCAGTTCCATCGTGGAGTTGAAGGCCAATGTACGAGGGAATCTACAGAAGGTGACCTCGAACACTGCTACAGTTTTACCTTATCTTTGCCTGGCTTCTGACACAAGCATATTATAATAATGAAGCTGTCATTTAGACACGATATTCAAAACAGTGAAAGTGCCAGGATTATGCTCATGAAATTATTTACATGCAAGATGTATAAAGTATGATATTTTGAATTGTGGTAGCCCAACTATTGAAAGTAGCCCTGTGTGGCTACCATTGCTGTGTTCTACAACTACGGCATTACCAGCTGCCTTGATTGGTTTTTGGAGAGAGTCATCAGTATGCATCGTTCGGGAAAGACAATGTTCTGTGAAAACATTATCTAATATAATCTGAAAAACCATATTTGACTTCAAGACATTACAAAAAATGAATCCTTATTTGCAGTTCAGGGGGACTCCTAAGTTACGACTTTCGGTGAAAACCATGACCAACTTTCTCGTAAATGATTATTTCATGCATCAGGGATCAGGGTCTGAGGGGTCAAACAGCCGAAGTGGTAATGGGGTAGAATGGGGACCAATCCATGGAGCGCCATTTCACCTCACCAGAGTAAAGTATGTATAACGTCCTGGTTCATAGTTTACTTTCAGCACTCAGTGCATCTAGATGCAGTGGTTTCCCAGTGTTCACTCCTAGCATAAGGAGGTGGAGTAGCTATGGTGTCGTCCAGGCTACGTAGGGGTCCCGGAAAGTAAGAGAGTAATAGCAAACGACTGTTATATCCACAATGTTGTATAGTGTATATGCAGTCACGTGACTATCAGTTGTGTCTACCATGTCGCTGGTATGTTACGCGTTTTCTTTCAGTGGCCATTTTATTTACGAGGAAGTGCTAAAGCCGTAGGGGGTCAAATAGATCCTTGGAGAACTGGAGATAATTATGATTGATCCAAGAAAAAGAACAGTTCTAATTCCTTGGATCAAGAGCCCCTCACCGGCGTTAAGGTACCTCTCCAAGGTTAGTTTTTCTTTACACGATAAGAGATACGTTTTTTTCGGATTTTTAACCCGGGGGAGGGTTAACTACCCAAGATAACTCGATAAAGTCAGTGCGTCATCGAGAATTCTGTCTTATTTCCACTGGGGTCCTTAATCTTGCCCCCCAGGATGTGACTCCACACCAGTCACCTAACACCCAGGTACCTCCTTACTGCTAGGTGAACAGGGGCAGCAGGCGTAAGGAAACATGCCCAGCGTTTCCACCCATATCTGGGATTAAACCACGGACACTCGGAATGTGAGGTGAGTGCGTTACCAACCGAGCCACAGGACACCAGCCAGCATAGGCCGTGATAAAGCTACAAGTGTTAAGCCAAACATTAGTATACACAAATGGAATTTAAAAATCATGTAGAGCTGTAACTAACCCCTCGAATGAGCTACTTTCCTGTTGAGGGGCTCTTCATCCAAGGAATTGAACCTGTACTCCCTTTAATTTCATCAAACCTGATTACCTCCTGTTGCTCTAGGCGCTGACTCCTGCGGGTTTGGTGCTTCCCAATAAATATAACCGTAAGTAAGCCTACAAATATGAAACTACAGACAGTTTAATTACCTATGACTGCTTAACTATGTAACTTGTGAACAGTCTGAGGGTTGAATATATCAATATTTTGTTATGAGGCCAGACATGTGCACAAATTGACGACAAAGGGGTTAAAATTAAACTTATGGAGTTCCTAACATAGGCCTCCAGGAGCATGGTACACTCGATAACTTGGCTAAATTACAATTAAACCCGAAAATTATTGAATTTTGTTTATAAGCTCCTTCTCAGCACGTATGCCGTATTCTATTCAAGATTGATGGACTGACCACATCGACTCAAGGTTGAGGGACTGATTACCTCATTCTCCTCCTGTTCTTCAAGTTTCTCCTTTGTATGGACTGATGAAGCCACTGTGTGGCGAAACGTTTCCTCAATAAAGATACCCAAGAGTTGCACATGTGTCTAATTTATCAACATGTCGGTTCTCTGAACCATTCATCTACATTCTGAACATGACTATAAATACTCTCGTACCTTCCAACCCCAGGTAGATCCGTGTGTGACTTGAAAAAGCCCACTGTGTGGGTGAAACGTTGTCAATAAAGGATCACATTATACTGCATTTGTGTTTATATTTCCATTGTGTCGGTATTTTATACCATTTATTTACATTAGCCATCTTCCACATATCAGACACTACACCTGTTTGAAGAGATAAATTAAAAATATTAGTTAATGGTTCACAGATTTCCATTTTGCATTCCTTTAGAACCCTGAAAAAACCTCATCAGGACCCGGTGACTTATTTTGCTTCAGTCGGTCTATCTGCTTCACAACCATTTCACTAGTGACTGTGAAGTTACATAATTTATCTTCTTCTGGCCCACTATAAAAATTAATTACTGGAATATTATTGTTAGGTAAGACACATATGCAACAGTTAGACAACTTTATTCCGAAACGTTTCGCCTACACAGTAGGCTTCTTCAGTCGAATACAGAAAGTAGGCAGGAACAGTAGAGATGTGAAGACGATGTAATCAGTCCATCACCCTTAAAGTCGTAGAATTTGAGGTTGTCAGTCCCTCGGCCTGGAGAAGTTCAGTTCCATAGTCAGGAACTATCTGAAGATCAAGCGACTGCGGAATTTTAAATACTGTCGGAAAGGAGAGGTGCAGGGTATATAGTAGTAGTATAGTAGTAGTAGTAGTGAGAGGCCACGAGGGGCACCCTCCAGACCAACACTTCCACTTGAAAACTTGCCCAAAGGGTTTTTTCTGTCCCAAGATCCACGTGTTGCAGTGCTGACAAGATGAACCAAAATGGTATAAAAACCGACGGGTTTTGTTAGGAAAGACACATATGCAACAGTTAGACTTTTGTCTAACTGTTGCATATGTGTCTTCCCCTAACAACCTGTCGGTATTGAACCATTTTGATGGAAATTATTGTGTCTCCTGTGAAAAAACCCCGAAGAAAAAAAATTATTTAAAATCGAGCACATTTCATTCTCTTTGTCAGAAGAGCCCATATTTTTTTTTTTAAAGGGGGACCTATCTTATCTTGCTTTTGTTCTATATACCTGGAGAAAATTTTTTTGGGTTTATTTTTAGAACCCCTAGCAACTTTAATTTCAAGTCCCTTTTAGCTTTTTTTATCCCCTTTTTAATGTCCCTTTAATGTCAATAAAACTGATTCTAAGTGACCCTCCCCTCTTTGATACGTTTAAAAATTTTTTTCTTATCCCTAGTAGATATTTAGCCTATTATTTTCCCCTTTTGGGTCATTTCTATTTGATTAATTTTTTTATAAGGGATAAAAGTTCTTTTGGGGCACATGTATTGTTAGGTAAGACCAATGCAACAGTTAGGTATCTTTATTATGAAACGTTTCGCCTCACAGTAGGTTCTTCAGTCAGTACAGAAAAGTTGATAGAAGCAAAGATACTTGAAGAGATTTTTAAACAGTCCATCACCCTTAAAGTTTTGAGGTGGCAGTCCCTCAGTCTGGGAAGACATTGTTCCCCCAGTAGAAACAATATGGGAGAAAATGACGGATGGAGCTTTTTTTTACGCCAAGAGGTGAGAGTAGGCACTAGGAAGGGAAGAACTCAGATGTTGAGAGGTCAGGTCCCTCCAAACCCAGCCTTCTCACTATAGAGGTTTTCGAAGTTGATGGTCTGTACCAAATACCCTTGTGTTGCAGTGTCTGACAGAATGAAAATTAAAAAGGATAAAAAAACCGACAGATTTTAGGGAAGACCATATCAACAATTAGGGATCTTATTTCGAAACGTTTTGCCTACACAGTAGGGGTTTCCCCAGTCGAGTACAGAAAAGTTTATAGAAAGAAGATACTTGAAGACGCAACACAAGGGGATCTTTGGACAGACCCTCAACTTTGCAACCCTACTAGGGAACGGCTGGGTTTTGGAGGGACCGCCCTCCCAAAAAACCTACTCTCACCTCCTGGCACATATAAGGGTCCATCCTGCACTTCAACTTTAATTGTTTCAGCAACGGAACAATGCTCTTCTCCAGATGAGGGACTGCCACCTAAAACTTTAAGGGTGATGGACTGATTCACGTCTTCAAGTATTTTCCTTCTATTTTTTTCTGTACTCGACTGAAGAACCTACTGTGTAGGCGAAACGTTCGAAATAAAGAACCAACTTTGCATATTGTCTTCCCTAAAAACCCCTTCGTTCCCGATGCTGGCATTACACACCTAAGAAAACGCGCCTCTCACCCCAGCCCCACCCTACTCTCACTACCCCTCACCCCCCCCCCCCCTCCCAGCCCGTGACCGCAAGGGGGGTTTCCCCTGATGATATCGAACCCCCCTTTTAACTCCCTGGCGAACTAACAACATCTTGAAACCGCCCAACCCAAATCACATCCATACCGAAAATTATTTTCTGTTTTTAAAACCCGCTCAACCAGTACCTGCGAAAAAACCCAAACCAGCCACATCGCTTGACTCCGCCCGGGAGACCATTCAAGTTAAGAGTTACACTCGTGAAAGCATATAATGGGGGCTTTCCTTTATGCCGCTGTTTTTTACTCATGGCAAATTTCCCCCTTTTTGGGGCCCCCCCAGGCGCCTCACAGGTCTTTACCTGATCACCATCACTCCCCGTGCCCGTCTACTGCACTTTTGGGGTCAGGGGCCAGCCCGGACTTCCGTCAACTCCCTGCCCCCCCACGCCTTTTTTTCCTGGCGCTGGCCCCGGCGGAGAACCTCCTCTACCCCTCCATTCCACCGGTTCTTTCTGGGGCCGCCATGACCTTATCCACTTCTGGCCTTGCTCCTGAGAACTTCCATTTCACCACCTGCTGCAAGGTACCTGCACTGGGGGTCCCTTCCCCAGGCGATGGGGCCGTCCCTGATTTTTCCCCACCTTCACTGAAGACCCCCAGTCCAGCCCCTTCCCAAAACTCCTGGAGCACCTCGTCCATGAAGCGCTCCTGGGGTGCGCTATCCTGACATCCCTGCTCACCTGGCAATTCGTCCACATCCTCCGAACGCTCAGGGAGCGTTACACACCTGACAGCCGACTGTTCCTCACGGTCTACCTCCTCGCTCCAGCGACCACTCTGCAAGTCAGCTCTGCCGTCCCGCTCGGGCCCCAGATCACACAATCCTTGCTTCACTGCCGACGCTTCCGGCCCTCTGGACGATTGTCGCCTGGGAAACTGTGCCGCCATATGATCATAAGAGCAACAGAGGCGACACGTCCGCCGCTGACCAGCGTAATGCACAAAAACTTGCGTTCTGTGTCCCACCAACGTTACGTATGACGGGATCGGCCGTGCCAACGACATCTTGAGAGTATAGGACCCCTCAGAGAGCCCCTCATACGGCCCATCCTTCCAGACTCCCATTGTCGCCGAATGCACCCGGCCATAGCTACTAAAAGCCTCCTTCAGCCCATACACAGTTGCCTCGAAAGGCACATTACGCACCTTAACCCATGTGTAGTATTTGGATACATCGTGCATGATGACGTCCACTGCCAAGTTGACAGTTATCCTCTTCTCCTGGAATTCTTCAACGAGCCTGTCATTCAAACTGGCACCATTCAGTTTTACGAAGATTCTTGACATTTCATTCAGCGCCACACCGTATAATTCCTCTGTTGGTATACCGTAGACGTCTCTGATGATGTTTGGCAACAGGACGTTCATCGTTGCAGTGCTAAGCGCGCCTCTGACCAATTCTATGCAGACAGTGTTCACTCGGCATACCCCTCCCTCCGCCATTTTGTCGATGCACTGCCAAAGAAAACCACTAGAGGGCAAGTGTAGCAGTCAAGACGAGCGTCCTCTCACACCAGTGGTTGAGAGGCGAATGGTTTTGCTAGAAGTGGTGTAGACTCGATCCTGCATCCGCTGTGTGACCTGTGTGACAGACACGACGCTACACGACTAATACATAGCTATGGAATTAAGTTTTAGAGCCGAGAGAGATCAGGCACCAAAAAAATGTAGTGCTACATTCAGTTTGTATCCATGCTATCATGCACACATAACACATGAGAGCATGTTTAAACTAACCTCGTGTGTGTGGAGAATATAAATTTCTAAGTCATATACACAGTTGTTTATATAATATATATATATATATATATATATATATATATATATATATATATAAACAACTGTGTAGTAGGTTGGTAGACAGCAACCACCCAGGGAAGTACTACCGTCCTGCCAGATGACTGTGAAACAGAAACCTGTAACTGTTTTGCATGATGGTAGGATTGCTGGTTTCTTTTTCTGTCTCATAAACACGCATAGATAACAGGGATATCTTGCTACTCCAACTTACACTTTGGTCACACTTCACAGACACGCATATATATATATATATATATATATATAAAATTATATATATATATATATATATATATATATATATATATATATATATATATATATATATAACACACACATCTAGGTTTTTCTCTTTTTTTCTAAATAGCTCTTTCTTCTTTATTTCTTTATTGTCCATGGGGAAGTTGGAAAAGAATCTTTCCTCCGTGAGCCATGTGTGTCGTATGAGGCGACTAAAATGCCCGGGGGAGTGGGGGTATACCCCCTTTTCCTGTGACTTTTCTAAAAAGAGAAATAGAAAAACTTTTTAAAATGGGATGCTTTAATG